CAGACCACCGACAGAAAAAACCCATAACCATGCAGCAAATTAATATAATAATTATATAAAAATAGAACAGTAGCAACAACATATTAAATATGGATTGTCCATACTGTAATTTTATCACAACAAAATAGATAGCATACATATAAAGATCCAAATGTTCAACACATTCATTAATGACATCAGGGCTACATATAAATGATGTCCAAATGGTCCGGCATTAATACATTCAAAAGCATTACCATCTCATCTCAACAGTTCAAGTCTCAGTCAAGATGAGTAAAGTACCAGCATGCATCATTGAGTCATATTATAGCTAAAACTAAATCTAACATATTAGAGCCACTACTAGTTAATGTGCAAAAGCACAACTCTACAAAAGAAGAAACCACCATCACATCCATGTTTTGCAACTAAACACAACCATCACATTATCGATGCATGATCGCCATTGTTGTCGGAACCTTGATTGTTGGCAATGTTTGTAGCATGAAGATCCCCATTGGTGTGGCTGCAACATTGAACCAGTATAAGCAATCAATAGTTAGGATAAGTTAAATGGCCTGCTTGTGATAATACTTATAGCATGAGCACCCATTGGTGGAAATCTAGCTGACTTAGGGATGGATCCAACAAGCAGACCATTGGTAGGTGGAGGTGCTCTTGCTCCATTGGTAGGAGCAGCACAAGAGTGATCAGTAAAGAGTGTCTTGATGTCAGGGTTTGGTCTAGGGTTCTTGCAGAGCTGATGTTGCCAGTTTAGACTGAAAGGCATTAGAAAGATAGAAATAAAGCCCAGTTAGCCTCACCTTTTACATGCACGAAATGTGCTTCTGGAAGCACCGTTAGACTTGTAGGCATAACAAGTAGAGAAATCCCAATTGTTATTAAACATATCAAAATTAAACCATCAAAATCACATCTGCTCATTTTGCCTGTTGATCATCAATACACAATCACATCTGGATGCACCGGCCCAATGCACTAAACATTATGCTTCTGAAAGGAAAGTTACCGTACCTAAAATTCTCCAAGGTCAGCAGCTGTGTTATCTCCTTGAACAGCTCCTCATTGAAGGAGGCCAACTTTCCCCACTTGCTTATCTGTTCGATGATTAAAGGACTGCATCAATCAGTGAAGCCTAACAGCTGTGCATACTTAACAAGAAATGTACACTAAAAACAGTTTTCGAAGCCAAATTAGTATGGAACTTGAAATAAGAATACTCCTGAAACTCTAAAGCATATCTATAGTGTTGTGCAAAACACTAAAATGGTCCTAAAGACATGTGTAAACAATGAATTAAGATTCATGCAAATAAATAGTTAAACAACATGCTAGCCTCCCAAATCTTATCAAACCAAATATTTTTTCAGTGTTGTTTTAGCTAATACTTGACAACTTTTATGCATGGAACTTGCTACTGCAGCCCATATCAGGATATATAATGGAACAATCATTCATGTGCAGCTCTAAAAATTCAACCAACAATTTCAGAGCAACTATAAAGTGGCTAACTATAGGCAGTAGAAAAAAATGCATGTAGGACGACAATCATGTGCTATTTGAGAAATTAAGAATTCATGTTGACTGCACATTACATACCACATCTAATTCTAAAATGAGATTGACAATATGATGGGATAATTGTCAATTTTGATAGTGATCTTAGCCTTCAATATGAATTTGACACAAAAAAACTTCAAACTACATGGAGTCGATATCTTACCATTGGAGCACACAACAAGCCTATATCCAAAATGTGATCAACCGGATTGGAAATGAGTGTAATCAGATCTGCAATGTTGTGCAAAGTATGGAATTAAAAAAAAGGCCGCCACCGGCCTCCACCGCCAGAGCCCAGAGCCCAGATCCGGCCGCCACCGGCCTCCACCGGCCAGATCCGGGAGAGGGAGGGCCGGATCCGAGAGAGGGAGGGGCGGCGCCGGGGAAGAAGGCCGGGGAGGGGCGGCGCCGGGGAAGACGAAGGCCGGGGAGGGGCAGCGTCGGGGACCACCACCACCACGCCAGCACCACAAAGCCTGCTGCCACGCCGCCCACCGCCCGCCGCCCGCCACCACCAGAGCCCAGATCCGGCCGCCACCGGCCTCCACCGGCCGGATCCGAGAGAGGGAGGGCCGGCGCCGGAGAAGAAGGCTGGGGAGGGGCGGCGCCAGGGAAGAAGGGGAGAAGGGGAGGGGCGGCGCCAGGGAGGGGAGGGGCGTTGGGGGCCGGGTGCCGGGGAAGAAGAAGGGAGGGGGCGCTGGGGTCTGGGTGTGGAGGAAGAAGAAGGGAGGGGGAGGGGGCACTGGGGTTTGGATGCGGAGGAAGACGGGTGCGGAGGAAGAAGAAGGGAGGGGGAGGGGGCGCTGGGGTAAGAAGAAGGGAGGGGTCCTGGTCGTATGAATTTTTCCGTGCGTGCGTATGTTTTTTCTGTGCGTTTTAAAATAACCGACATAATAATAACATTTTTTCGGACAGAATAAGTTGCATTTTTATGTGAGTGCCGATTTTTTTCGTGTGTGTATTGTCACGCATAGAAAAATTATACAATTATTGTATGGGTTTTCGTATTTTCTATTGGGATATTTTGAAACCGACAGAAAAATCTTAGAAAAAAAAGTACAGAAAAATTCATCACCCACGGAAACAATTTGAGTTTTCAGTAGCGTTGCATTGGTACGACCGATACTCCGATAGAATCAAATCCCAATTTGCCTCTCCATTTGCTGTAAGAAAACGCATAGCCTTTGCGGAAGTAAGCAGCAGCCGCGAATTGTGTTGGTTTCTGACTTTCTGCCGTTGGCCGCTTGCTCTTTTTTTTTTAAGAACTTGCTTAGCACGTGTTTCATTAAGGGGAGTTGGCCGCTTGCTCTTGTAGCACTGAACTTTGGAATACGGATGCTCGACGAGAGCTGCGTTTCGCAACGGAGTGCATGCAAGTGGGCGGGAGAGTGACAGGATAAGAGAAGGACCGGGCGCCAAGTTGAACAAGTCTGGCTGGCTCTTTATGATCCAAAACAAAGCTCGTAGCGCCCATGCTGCTATGCCCGACCTGCTAGACGACCCCATGACCCGCCCATTTCCTGCCCATCATCAAGTCCGCCGATCCAGCATGAGTTTCTTCATAGGAATAATGAAAAAGATCGGATAAGCATAAATCCAGAAGGTACGGTACTGAGGAATTTGTCCATTGTTCTGACTATAACGTTGCGATCCAGTTAGATATTAGATACAAAAAAAAAGCGGCGCAGGAAGCAAAGATTTTTAATGCCACATCACAAACTAAAACGTTGCAAAAAAAAAAAAAAGATGGCTATCTTCAAAAAGGTATAGCCACATCACAAATTAGTAGACTAGTAGTAGCACTTTCTGGAGAAAGAGAAAAGAAAATGATTTATCAGTTGCACTTTTTCTTGAGGTTGTGGACGTACATCCTGGCCATTATATTGAATATGAATACCTGGCACGGATTTGGAATTTCTTCTGCTAATATTGAATATGAAGGCGCATGCACCTACCTTAGCTGATCATCGATACTTTATCGTCGTCAAGCTTATTGAGCGGCACTATTATTATATGATGATGCTCTTTTTAGTGTGAATCACAGTACAGCTGTAGACGCTTATATACATGCACACACATCCCTATGAACAAACACATATCCTACCCTACTATGAGCACACCTCTGAAATACTAAGCCAGTAGGTTTCAAGATTCATAAGTTACCACGTGCGCTTCGCTGACTTCGCTATCGACAGATACGATAGCCTACCATGGGAAGAATAGTATTGTTAAATTGTCAAATAATAAAATAAGTCCATGAAACCAGAAGCAGCTGCACTGGGGGGGGGGGGGGGGTTCTGTGTTCCGTGACGATGCCCGTTGGTCGTGTACTCGTCCCTCCTAGAATCGTGAAGATGTATTTTAGTATTTGTATTTATGAAATGTTCTTAGTTCCATATATTTATGAAAAAATTACTAAATAAATGGATGTTGCTCTATCCTACTATAATATTTTTTATAGGTCTCATTTGAGACCACCGATAAATAAATTGTTTAGCCCACTACTTATTAGAACCTTGAATTGGGCGATTTACTTGTTAATCTAAAAGGTCAATATACGATGCACTTCCATTGACCAGCCATAATGCCATAACCCTGTTCCAGATTACCAGAATCTCACTTCCATGATAATCTATCCTGTGAGGACAACCGCTAGCTAGCCTATGCTATTTTGCACTCCTAGACTCGACACGAATAGTAACATATATAGCCATCTTAGAATTCCGGTGGTCAACAGCAGAACCGTCAAGAAAGAAATACGTAGGCGTGACGCTACCGCCGCAGACGATGGTGTTCCGATCCTTTCCTCTGTAGGATTGGAGTAGTTGACATTGCACTTTATAAAAGTCCGTGTCCGTACCGCCAAAGCCGTCACGAAATTAAGCCAAGAGAAACCCGGGACACGCAAAAGCGGAGGGACGACACAGAGAAGACATGGACAAGGAGGCCTGAGATGGCCCGGACGTAACACCGGACCTAACACGTGCGACCGACGGCTGGAACCCTCCATGCAGATGCGCTGAGATGCAGCGCAGAGGCCTCCTCCCTCCTGCCTCTCCGTCGTCTGATCTCCCGGCCTTGACTTGGCCATGTTTCAATGCTGATCCCCACCACCTCGCCTTACACGCAGCAATGGCACCTAACCGCTGGTGCTTAAGCTTAACCACAGATGGCCTCGCCTCGTGCGATCTGGTCGCGTCGCGGCATATAAAAGTGCAATAGCCCCCACATATCTTTCCGCACTAAGCCAAGCCCGGTCTAGCTAGGACTAACACTAGTACCATCCTCCATCCTCCGCGCGGTTGCTACAGTTAGCTTCCCTTTCCTCCAGCCCATCCATCCATACGATTGACCTGAGCTCATCAAGCCCTGAGCTGAGCCGCCTCCCGTCGAGCGAGAGCGCGATCGCTGCGGGGAAAAGCAGAGAGAGAGTGGGCAAGATGAAGGTGCAGTGCGACGTGTGCGCGGCCGAGGCGGCGTCGGTGTTCTGCTGCGCCGACGAGGCCGCGCTGTGCGACGCGTGCGACCGTCGCGTGCACCGCGCCAACAAGCTGGCCGGCAAGCACCGCCGGTTCTCGCTGCTCAACCCGGCGCCGCCGTTCTCATCGTCGGGGTCGTCGGCGCGGCAGGCACCGCCTCCGCTCTGCGACATCTGCCAGGTTCGACCGACGACGCCCATGCTAAATCTTTGGATTGGACGGGGGGTTTCGTTTGGTTAACTGCGACCGCCGAAGGAAGAAGCTGATCGATCTGCGGCGCTATGTGTATATGTCACGCAGGAGAAGCGGGGGCTCCTGTTCTGCAAGGAGGACCGCGCCATCCTGTGCCGGGACTGCGACGTGTCGGTGCACACGGCCAGCGAGCTGACGATGCGCCACACCCGGTTCCTGCTCACGGGCGTGCGCCTCTCCGCCGAGCCCGCCGCGTGCCCGGCGCCGCCGCCGCCGCCGCCGTCGTCGGAGGACGAGAACAGCAGCGGCAGCGGCAGCTTCTGCTGCAGCGCCGGTGGCGGCGACGCGGCCGCCGCCCCTCCGTCGGCGGCGCCCGCCACCAGCCACGGGAGCGGGAGCGATAACGGCAGCAGCATCTCCGAGTACCTGATCAAGACGCTGCCCGGGTGGCACGTCGAGGACTTCCTGGTGGACGAGGCGGCCGCCGCCGCCGCGACTAACATCATCGGCGTCTCCTCCGCAGACGCGTCGTATCTGCAGGTTGGTGTTGTTGGTTGGTCCCATACGTTCTGTACTACTCTTCCGTTTGGCCATTGGCGCGCGTGCAGTAAATGTTTAGCGACGATCCATCCATGAACGGATGAACCCTTCTGTTGACACCGTTCGTGAGCACGCAAGCAAGCACACGCAAAGCATGGCATGGCATATCCCGATCGAGCACGTCTGCGTCGGCATTAGTGCGGCTGCTTCCAATCCAATCCACCCAGTAACCATCCATTATGGGCGCGCAGTACGGTTCTGTAGCTAAGCTTAACTAGCTATGCTCTCGCTGGTCCAGGGTGTGCGTGACCATAATAATATGAGCAAATTCCTTCATTGCCACTAAAACATATAACACTCCCTTTACTGCCATTCAAAATTATATGTTCTCTTCACTGCCATCCATTCTAAATTTCAAATTCCTTCACTACCATTGCAGTCTAACATATAGATTTCGTTCCCTTGATTGCCATTCGTACGTATATTTTGTTTCCTCCATTGCCACTGAGGTAACGGAACGGCGTTAGAAGACTATCCCTACGTAAATGTTGTACCAATTTTACCCTCCTCCCGACGATGAAAACAGAGACCACGAGTGGTCTGCTCCCTCGTCCCAAATCTTCTCGAGCTAGAACCCTAGATCCCCTCCGACCCTGCCCGACGCGACGCCCGCCTCTGACACCGCCCGACGCGACGCCCCGCCTCCGACTCCACCGACCCGACGCGACGCCCGCCTCCAACTCCACCGACGCGACGCCGGACCCGCCCCACGACGCCGTGCCTCCGACCCCGCCCGAGCCTCACCACCGACCCGCCCCAAGCGACGCCCCGATCCAGCCGTCACCCGGCCGCCGGGCCTTCCCAGCTGACGCCCCACTCTAGTTGTACCTCGGCCCGGGAACTGACTGGAAGGAACCTCGGGGCGACTCGGCGGCGCTGCAGCAGCTCCCGCCGGGGGGCGACTCGGATGTGACGGCGACTCAGCATTCTCTCCTGCGGCGCCTATCATCTCCAGCCGCCTTCTCGCCGGTAACGCACCGTCCTCCTTTTCCTTCCTGTAGTCTCAGTCCTAGGGTTCTTGGGTGCGCGTTCTTGATTCCGCCCTATGGTTCTTGGGGGCGAGGAACCGGCCTTGGGTGCGATCAGATGAGAAATCCTTGTGGGCATGGAAATATGCATGTATCCGTTTCCAATATGTGGTATGTGGTTGCTCAACACCTTTCACTGGTCAGATGAGAAATCCTTGTTGCCTGGTTGTATATTTTGATCATTTGCCTATAATTAGTCCATTACTGTTCTATTTCATTGTGGCCTGAATCTAGTTATCAATGTTACAAAAGACAGCATTGCAGTAATATGCTGGAGCCATCTTGTGGACCATTGTGACCTGTTCTTGTCAAACTAAGAATCATGTGTGAGCTTTCATTTATACTCAGCAGAAACTTTAAGTAGTCACTATGCAATGAATTAGCCATACTTCTTTCTGATGGATTGCCTGGAGTCATTTCCAGTTTGAATTATAGGTTTATTTCCTTTTTTTCATTTATTCAGGCCTCATACTAACAATCATTATACTCAGACTTAAGTAGTCACTACGCAATGACTTGGTCATGCAGTCATGCCTCTTTGCTTATTTACTGCCTACCATTATTTTTATTTTGATTATAGGTTTGTTTCCTTATTTTCATTTATTCAGGTATGATGTAAAAATTATAAATGAAAATCTATGAACTGAAATCTCTATACCTATATTTCGTGTTTAAATCTATTTTATTTTCTTTCATTAGTACTGATATGTTCCTTTTGAGACATGAGTGAGCATTAGTACTGATATGTTCCTTTCATTAGTACTGCTAGGATTGAAGGCTAATTGGGCTCATCAATACCCTTGTCCTTGTAAATATTTCTCGCTTCCGAATCTTATAATAACATGAGAATATAAGGGTTTCGGATTCTTATCTCTGCTTTTTCATTTTTAGAAGCTTTAATGATATGTGTTTAGCTTAAACAAAGACGTACATTTTCCATCCTGAAAAGTTGATAATGCCGTTCATGTACTTGATCTGTGACTACTTTTTTGTACATAAATGTTTCGAATGTGCTCTTTTCTTTGCTTAGATACTTTGAATTATACACCTTGTGGGCTGGATTTTCGTGATCGACCAAAGCAAGACCAAGCCCTTTTGTAATCAAGGTCAGTGAAATATCCCCTGAATCCACGGCACTGTGATATAGCAAATAACAAAGATTATTGAATTTAAACACTGTTGACTACCATATGATCATTAGGTGTGTCATGTTTGGTACCTTGGCTTATTATTGATGAGTGTTAGTTTTAGTTTTACTCGACCTGAAATGCAAGGCATCCTAGGAATTCAGAATATATGATGCAGCCCTCTGAACTTATTGTGAGGTCCATATTTGAGTTGGTAATGTGTTAATGTTGCCTTTTTTAAACTGAGCTATGGGTTCCTTCACCTAGAATCTCTTATAACCAGCTACAGATTTTGAATGATTTGGCACTTGTATTCTAGGACGGTGGAAGTATATTCATTCTTGAGCGCTCTTCATTCTTTTGCTGTTGTTACCATTGTAGTGTTTGCTTTATAAGTGCAGCATTTTCTGGCTGTGTTAGCAAACTATGCATTGCAGCTAATAGCAATAACCTAATTTTAACGTATCTGTCAATTTATAATTCTCACACGGAAGAGCAAACCGACAAATCAACTACTGACGCGACGCCCTCTGGATATGGATTGAGGAGACAAGAGGGACGCATGGGAACGCCGGGGCAAGTCCCCGACACATCTTGGCTTCCTGTAGGGTAAGTGCTTCGTATGTTGTTCTTAGTTCTTCACATTTAAGTACATACAACTACACTTTATTGTGTTTGCATAATTTTGCATTCACAGGATGGACCCTAAGTCCACTTACCTACTGAAAATCAGACTCACTGGAAATCCTAAAAAGCGTAGGAAAGAATTTTCATGCTTTCATATCACCAAGGTTGTCGATTCTGATCTATGCAACTTTAAGGATCTTGTGGAAACAATTGTGGATGCATACCCTCATGGCTATAATGAAATAGTATCTGTTTTTTACTATGATGAGGTCCAAAAGAATTTCCCACAAGTCACAACAGATCAGGAGCTTCTTGCAATGTTCAACAAACATGTTGATAGCAAGGAAGTTCGCATGACGATTACTTACAGTGAGCCCACGGATGTTGTTTCTATCCCTGAGAGTTATACTCAACAAAATGCAGAGGTGCTTGATATCCCAAGCACTCCATCTGTGGCTTGTCCAATTCTAACTATAGCAAGCCAGTCCACCATGCCTACAACAAGCAGTCCCATTGAGCCCACAACAAGCCAGCCCACTATGCCTACAACAAGCAATCCCACTGAGCCCACAACAAGCCAGCCTAGCACAAATGAGCCTACTGTTGATGATGATTACCTAGCAAATCCAAAACCACATAATGAACATGTGGGTGTTGATGAGGAAGGTTTGTACCTAACCTGTGGGAAATCTAGAGCTGCTCATAGCGATAGCAGTGACTCCGACTCTGAATCCGATGAGGAGTACCAGGAAGAGGATGGGCTAGTTGGGAAAGATCCTCTGCCACCTATACCAGTTGTAGCTTATGACAAAGAAGATCCTCCAATGGGTGTAGGCAGCATATATCCCAACATGCGTGAGTTTAGGATTGCACTATCTCAGCATGCTATCAAGCATGAATTTGAGTTTAACATTGAAAAGAGTGACCCAGGGAGAGTGAGGGCATATTGTTCAAGGAAGAAAGACGAAGGGTGTAGATGGAGATTACATGCTTCTACAATGAAGGACAACGTAACAATAAAGGTAACATTTGAACTGTTGTACACATTTTTTTGCTCTTTATTTTCCAACATTTGATAATCTTGTTTAAATGTATGTAGGTGAGGAGAAACCCACGTCGTCATGACTGTTCTAGTGCAAGAAGGAGCAAGGAAGTTAGGAATGCAAGCAAATTCTGGATATGCGAACAAGTAAAGGATTGGCTTATGGAAGATGCAAGCGTAGGAGCTAAAGAATTGCAGAGGCGAATAAAGGACAAGCACAAGGTATATATCAACTACAAGAGAGTGTATGCTGGTAAGGAGCTAGCCCGAACACAACTATTTGGTAGTTGGGACAAGTAACTTCAATAACTTGTGTATAGGTTTAAGGCGAGGTGGAAAGGTGTTGCCTGGCGTTTTGTAGTAATAGATCATCACAAAATTCTTTGAGAAGGTCAGATTTCATAGGATGTTTTTGCTATGAAACCATGTATCGATGGTTTTCTCAATGGATGCGCACCATACTTGGCCATAGATAGCACATTTCGACAGGAGAAAGTTTAGGGGCCAGCTAGCATGTGCAATAGTCGTAGATGGGCATAATGGATGTATCCAGCTGTTGTTGGAGTGATAGACTCGTAAACTAATGAAAATTGGATATGGTTTTTACAAAGGCTTAGAGATGCCATTGGAGCACCTACTGAGCTTAGCTATATATGTCTGAGATGTTGGTCAAGGAGTAATGGCAGGAGTGAAAGAAGTGTTCCCTGATGATGCGTAACATAGAGAGTGCATGCTTTGCATTTGGTGATGAATTTCAAGAAAAGATACAATGGGAAAATATTTGATGATCATCTTTGGCCTCGGCAAAGATATTCATGGAGCCCATACTATTTTGAGAAGCATTGAAAGCAATGGAGGAAGCTAAACCATCAAGAATGACGATATAAGGCAAAGTGGCATACTAGGATATGGACAAGAAGTCAATTTGGGACCCATTGCAAGGTTGACTATGTCACAAACAATTTGGCAGAGTGCTTCAACAACTGGATAAAACAGTTCAAAGGGCTGAATTTGGATGACCTTATGGACAAGATCGGGCAACTTATTATGGATAAGTGGGATGTTAGAAGAACAAGATCAAGAAAGATTGAAGGACTTATTCGCCACACATCATCAAGAATTTGAAAGAGCAAAGCAGAACTTGGATATGGATGTACAGAGAAGTGGGGATATTCTAGCCGAGGTGTATGCATCAAGGGTGGCGGTGGGTTCAAATGTGTTGTCAACCTAGATGAAAGAACTGTCATTGTAGAAAATGGCAAGTCTCGGAATTCCTTGCAAACATGCAATTGCATTCATAACATCTCTCTTCGGAACCTTTGGAGAAACATGTTGACATGTATTATTCAGTTCGAAATTTAGAGCAGCATATGAGATTCTTATCCCTGCTATGCCTGACAAATCCCAATGGCCACAATCTGACCATGGTTACTTTATGCATCCACCACTTATAAAATCTACATCCGGTAGAAGGCGTAACAAGAGAGCCAAAGGATGTACAGAGGCTAATGGCAAAGCACAACAAAGAAGAAAGGGTCACATCAATGCCCCATTTGCAAGGATTATGGACACCGTTGGTATAACTGCAAGGATGGTGACCACGAGGATATATGCAGCTATGCTAATGAGAAGTAAGCATTCTAATCTTTACTTAGTTTGACTTGTTATTGATTTCATATTGCTTCCTTTTGAGATCTCATTGATGTTTATGTTTATGTGGGGGGCCACCAAAAAGAAGGAAGAAAACAACTGAATGTGAGAGTAGCATTGTCCCAGCTGACCCAGGACCCAAAACAATGCATTTTCCTCCTAGGTATGCCTCCATATACTTAGAGATCTGAAATTTAAATTCTGATTATTTTTCTAAAAATTGCATTTCATTTTTTTGTATTACAGCCAAAATGCCTCGCTTATCTTAGATTCTGGAAACTCTCTCAAGTATGTGTCCAATATCCAATGTTATTTGTTCTTAATTATAGCATTCTCAATATTATTCTCTAAAAGTGTAAAACTCACTCACATGCAGGTCTGGTAGTGGCTCAAACCAACCTGAGACACTTTCCATTGAGTACCCTTTATTCACTTTAGGTGAAACCACACCACCAGCTGCCACATCCATGCCTATAGTAAAGAAAAAGGGTAAAAGGAAGGCAAAGGCACAAGGAAAAAAGAAGAAGCAGCAAGTTACAACATCAACAGATAGTCCAGCAATGGGGACTAGAAGCAAGAACCCTCTAAGGCAAAGCCCTGCTGCACACACTAGAAGCAAGAGAAAACTTCCAGATTTGAATTTGTAATTCAAGCAACTCATTTGTATGGTCTGTAATGTCGTGCAACCCTCTTATTTTGCTTGATATATAAACTTATGGCTGCTTATTTTGCTTAGCAAGTATGAGCCTAGTTAAGAATTAAATGGACAACAATGGCTGCTTGGGAACTTGTTATTTTGTTTGGTCTGTAATCCAATGAATTGCTAGTTTGGTTGGTAAACATTTGAACTAATGAATATCAATATATCATATGGATTGTTGTCATATTTCTATGCATGTGTTGAAATGTTATCATTTTTGTCACAGTATATTGCTGACAGGTCTCCAATTGATTTGCCTGTGTTCTAAAGTTCAATGGCAACCAAGGGATTGTTATAGAGAAATTTTTAAGGGTAAGATTGTCTTTCACATGCTATCTAACAGCAATCTCTCTGCATTGGACGGTAATGGCAGTGAAGGGATTTGAAATTTAAAATGGATGGCAGTGAAGACAACATATAATTTTGAATGGCAATGAAGGGAGTGTTATAGGTTTAAGTGGCAACGAAGGAATTTGCTCTAATAATATCTCCAGGAACAACTTTATTTATTTAATAATCTCGCGGGGCCAGTTTAGCCACGGCGCCCAGAGCCTAGAAATATAGTAATACTGTAAGCGCGTGTTCACCCCAAAATTCTAAAAAGTGCTACAGTACCTATCACATCGAATGTTTGCGGTTTATGCATGGAGCATTAAATATAGACGAAAAAAAACTAATTGCACAGTTTGGTGGAAAATTGCGGGGCAAACGTTTTGAGACTAATTAGTCCATATTTGAACATTAATTACCAAATAAAAACGAACGTGCTACCGGAGCCATAAATTTCAACTTTCTGGAACTAAACACGGCGTAAATGACAGTAGTACTAGTACAGTAGTACTAGTACTACTGTAGTAGAATAGACCAGTTTGTCTGCTTCGTTCCACTTCACGGACCGCATGCCTTTGAAATGCACGTGTGGTGATTAATTAATCTGGTTTCCCCGCTGCATTTGAGCAGGGAGAGGTCGCTCGGATCGGCGGCCTGCAGGACGGCGGCTACTCCGCGTGGGTGGCGCCGGAGCAGCTCTTCTCCGGCGGCGGCGCAAGGGGCAGCAGGGAGCAGTGGGTGCCGCAGATGGTGATGTACAACAGCACGGAGGTGGCCGTGGCCGGCGCCGGCAGCAAAAGATCCCGAGCCACGTCCACGGCAGACTATCTCCAACAACGACACCCAAAATGCAAGCCTCGTTCGGTTTGCAGAAACTTAGCTGAAAACACTGTTTTAACTAAAATGTTGTGAGAAAAAAACATGGTTCCGGCTGAAAAAAGAAGTCGAACAAGCTGGATTTAAGGTAAGCCGAACAGGGCCACAAGACTCATTCAACGTTTTAGTAGCGCTACAGTCAAATAGTTCAATATCCATTCGACATTCTCTCCAACAACAGGACCCAAAAGAGAATTATTTCTACAAATGGGTTTCCAGGAGAGAGGATACTCATATTTGGGTTGTGCCTCTCAGACAACCCAAAATGGGTCTTCCGTATAGGTACTCTGTTGGAGGCTAATTTTGAGTTTCCTGTTACCCATTTTAGGCCTGGGTGTCTGTAACAGAATCGACCAATTATACGAAATTAAGTAAGAAAATCATCCGCCAGAGCAGACGATTTAGCAAACTTAAGCCCGTATAACCCGGTAGTCCGTGAAATCGCGAAGGATTTCAAACCAACTTCCATTCCAGCCAAGATCGTAATAAGTTTAGCGGTCACCATCACATATTACATAAAAGTTCGCAATCTCAGATACATCAGAGTTTAAACATAGTTATTACAAACCAGTTCGAATAAAAGTAGCGGAAGTCATTTGTTCAAACCACACACACACTCACGCGGAGTTTAAATATAGTGCCAGCGAATGATCATCTCCAACAAAAGCATTAGACAAGACGTAAGGAATGACCATGCCCATGGTCCTAAGCATCACCCATCGCAGGATAGAGACAGTTGATACAATAGCCGTAATACATCTGCCCATCTGCAACAAGTGGGAATAAAACCCTGAGTACGAGAAGGTACTCAGCTAGACTTACCCGACATAACCGAAAATAAATGACACCAAGGAATTATGAAGGCTTTATAGTAGGGTAGCTGACTCATTTGCAAAAGAAGCATTTTTAGCATTTCATGAACCTTTATAAAAGCATTATTGTTAAGTTAATTATTATTAACCTGTCGACTAGATTTGCATCTATACTAGAGTAAACATGTGATTAAGCAATTAATAATAACCACTGATCATTAAACAACTTCCATACTGTCATATTCACTATAACTGTCCAAGTGTTCTATAAACATTTACTACGATGAAGTAACTCAAGTCAAGTGCTCACTATCCAGGAGCGATGGCGATTCGAATCGATTCCAAGTTGTTGAAGGCATGCAGGTATTGCGTCACGGTTTTGGTGCCCTGGTTTAATGCCAGAAACTCTCCTAACTTCATTTCAGTCAGCCCGGGTGGAATATAGACTCCACGAAAGGCCTCAGCAAACTCTCTCCAAGAAATCTGAGCATTTGGAGGGAAGGTGGTGCGATGGTGCTTCCACCACATTCCCGCCGGTCCCTGCAATTGAAGTGCAGCATACTCCGTTTTTAGAACCTCAGTCATTCTCAACACACGGAATTTATCTTCCATTGTGTTGATCCATTCCTCAGCATCAAGTGGCTTTGTTGCTTCCTTGAATACTGGCGGCCTGGTGTCCATGAAATCCTTGAAGCTGCTATATTGGTTCACTCCCATGCCACCACCTTGATTGTTACCACGTTGAACGTTGTTGGCGATGGTGCGCAGAAAATCCTCCATGTTTTTCTGGGATTGTTCCGCATTGCGCCGACTCCGAAAGCAGTTGTGCGAGAAACATCTCGGGGTAAACGGGGAGGAGGTGGCAAATGTGGTTCATGGGGAGGTTCATTGTTGTTGCCGTGGTTCCCACCATCACCACCACCACCGGTCCCCGCACCGTTAGCACCGGTCTCTGGTGCTTTCACACGTGGTTCGGCGAGTGTTTGTCATCCGCATATTTCAAAGCAACAAGTAACGATTGAGTGAAGTCGTAATGATTGCAGTGAAGGAAAAATTATGCCGCATCTTGATTTTCTTCGGAGAGAATAAATTCATGCAATAAAACAGAGGCACAACAATCTCATCCCAATTAAGACAACAACACTAAATCGAATTACTTCAACGGCAAACATCGCATCCATACGGTCACATTGCCGAAGATACATACACCGGACTTTTTATGCGCTCGAGATATCGCATTCGAACATCAAGTTCCAACCACATGCCAAGTCTCATACGTTCAAGCAACATACGATAGGTTACATGCCAACAAAAGAAAGGTCGTCGCGACAGACCTAGATACTAGCGCAAGGCAACTAGCCTACTCCTCGGGGCCATCGCCGGGATCGGAGAGGCGTCACCGTCGCCTGTGTGAAACCGCAGCTCGTTCGGTTGTCGTCGTCGATGTTCATGCCCGGTGGCGTTCTTTGGAGCATATGGGCCAACCCCATTGTAGAGCGCGTGAAACTCTTCGTGCGAGTTGCCGTTGTATTCCTCTAGCTCATCGACTTTCTGCAGCAGAAGGTTTCTTGCGTTCGAGCTTCATTCCTCTCCGAACCAACTGTCCAATCATGCGGTTCGCATTGTTGTTGGCTTGAGTCAACGTATGCACTTTCATTGATAGCTCTATCACCTCTCTCAACCGCTTGATCTCGCCAGAAGTTCATATCGCCCAACCGCTTCCCGCAAGCTAGGTATAGCACGTGCTCGCTCTCTTC